CTCAGTTTATATACGTTTAAACTAAAGAAAAAAGTTGGTAGAAACCAATATTTTGCTAAACTTTGGTTAATCAAATGTCACTAGGGATTAACTCTTTAAACTGCGTTGGTAGAAACGGGCCTAATTCGTTTATATATTGTTATTAAACGTATATCTTTACGTCGATTTTTGTACAACGGCTTTAAAGTGCACTGAGTGCGCACTAGTTCTGCCAATGAAAAAACGCTATTAGAAAATAATTTTGAAAAAACTTATAAATAGATCTCATTTCTTCTTATGATATGAATCTTGATACGATTTACGATGCCTCTGTTAATACTCGGTCCACAATATTGTTTTAAGAGGCCTTATAAGTTGATTTAAGTCATAAGTCGAAAGAGATTAAGTGACAATAATTTCCGTCTTTAAACTTTTTGTGATAGCTTTATACTTTAACCGTTAGACTTAAGCGAATTGAGCAAAACCCAATTCTTACAGCCTAAAAGCATAAGTTCTGCGGCCGATATATCATCACTTATAACTTACAGCTTACGGCCTCTTAAATCAAGATTGTGGGCTTAGCCTTAATGGTTCGCTAAAGTAAATACAAATATATTTACTAATAGTTATAGCTAAATATATATTAATATATTAGGTATATTTTCTTACTCTTTGTATTTCGCTCATTTTGGTTACTTGTTTACCAAACTCCCATAGATCCACGCCGAACTTTAAAGCCCAGTTTTTCACTCTGCAATAATTACATAAGTTTGTATAGGTATACACGGCAACGACAGAAAATATATTTGCAATAACAATAAATATTAAGTAAAATTTGTTGCGTAAGCTTATATAATAATATATAATTGTTTTATGTTAGCTCATACAGAAATAATTAGTCACAAATGTAATATGTTTTACATTTCAACATTTATTAAAATCATAACATGTGAAGAAATCCTCAGGCGTGAGTTTTATAAAATTTATTTGAGAGAGAGAGAGAGAGAGAGAGAGAGAGATGTTAAGTACATTTGTAACTTTTATCGTAATTTCAATGAGCAGTTACACGAGTTGTAACTATTTTCGAAAAATTGTTTTTAATTTCAAAACGCTTTATATTAAAAAAAAGTGAAACTGCTAAAATCTTTTCTAAGCTTTTTTTTGCTAAATCGGACTCTCACGTAAAATGTATAATATAATAGTTTCTGTTTCTCCCTCCTAATCACCTCTTCTTTTCTTTCTCTTTGGAACTTTATACAGTGGAACTTTCACATCTTCTACTACACGGGGTTATGAGAAGTTAGGGAGGATCTCTCCATTCTTATATTAAAGGCGGAGCATTAAAAAGAAATAGCATGTATTACATATAGAGTGAGAACGTTTGCACAGATGCCAAACAACATAACCTATTTTAACTCTGAAAATTTTTATACACATCATGTACATATATGGATGGGGAATGAAGAAGTTACAACAGAATACTGAAGTTAGGGAAGTTCTACTGTACATCTCTCTCTCAAACTTTTTTCTGTTTATATTCTTTTATTATTCTATTATGCTTTTTCATTTTTTTTAGGTGCCATCCATTATTCTTAACTATACAGGATGTCCCGAAATTTGTGAATTAAGATACCATAGTAAGAAAGTATTCGACAAATTAAGTAAAAATTTTATTCAATAAAAATGTTATTTGTAAATTTTTACTTTAAGCAATAGTTTCTGAAATAACAAGGGTTTAAGTATGGTCAATTACAGGCTATATGTTTTAGACGGACTACGTTTAAACGCTGAGGGCATATTTACTAAACTACCGCACGCGCGATTTATGGACAAGTATAAATCTGTAATTAGCTACATTTAAACTCCTATCTCAAAAATTACTGCTTGCAATAAAAATGTACACACAAAGTTTTTTATTTAATTTTTCGAAAACTTTCTCGCTATGGTATTTTGATTGGCGAATTTCCTTGTATATTCGTCCTTCTCATATCGTTCACACCCTGACGACTTCTCTCCTACCTCTACCTTCTTCACTTTCTCTCTTTTTCTCCCCTTCCTTCCCACTCTCGCGCGTTTCTTTATTTCCCCACCCTACCGCATGCTCGTTCTCGTCCTCTTCCACCCCTTCGCTCTCACGTTCCTTCTGCTCTCTATCGAGTTTTGCTCGTCGAGCTTTATGCACCCCATCCGTCCAATCGCTCGCACATCTACCTCACTACCACCACCCTTATCACCCGACTCCCTCTTTCCCTCCTTTCCAATCCTCCAGGCTAACTTCTTTCAGATTCCTCATGCGTCATCGATATCCAACGATGTACGACACGGGGCAATTTCATACTTAATCACTACGCACATCGCACTCGTGCGACACTTACTCGTTGTGAGGTATGTCCTCCTCTTGTTGACGACTCGAGCCTATCCATAACAGAAACAGTAGCCCGAAACGTAACAGCCTGTCGATGCGCAAGAACATTATTTCAACGGTTCTAGACAATTATTTCTCAAAATCCTTTCTTTCTCCCTCTTCCTCTCCTTCTCTGTCACCCTCGCCGCGTTCTCGGCGCGTGACAAAAGGTCTCCTGTGGTAAGTCTTTCCACGATAATTTCGCGTGATTGACAATCGATCGTCGAGCCGAGGACCAGAGACGAGTCGGTTCGGCACCCGTCGATTTAATGATCCTCGCGCATCGTTCATAGGTCATCACCTTTCTCGGATCTCTTCCACTTCCCGTTTCTCTTGCAAACCGATCTCGAGCACATCTACTGCCACGTCCACTATATCGCCAACTCACCAACCCTCTGTCCGCTACCCGCGCTCGCTTGCGCGCGAGCGCGCGCGCGCACTCTTGTACGAGTGATGTACAAGGTCACGAAATCGGATCACGCACAGAGACGAGACCACCCCTTCATCCCCGTCGCGTTTGTAACTTTACGAACGGCGACGGTTCGCGCTGCGAGTGTCAGAGCAAATCCGGTTACCAGTTCGATCATTTCAATAGCGGAGAGAAGATAATAGGCGGCGGTGACGGCGGCGTTCCGGGCTGCGTGTACCGTTCCGGAACGTGCGCTCGAAATGTCACTGCCTTTTCCGCAGCTGAGCGCGACCACATGATCTCACCGCGCAAAGCGAGGATGGCATAATTCTCTTGTATCGCGCCTCCGTCGCTCTTCTTACGCAATTTACTCACACTACTGTCAGTCCCTATGGATTCCCTCTGAATCCCGCTGATTGCCCCACGTTATCGCACGATCTCGCTCTACAAGGATGGTTCACGTCGTAAGGCGTAAAGACGCGAAAAGAATGAGAAGTAGCGATGAGAATGCAAAGAAAGGTGAAGGCAAAGGTGGATTAGGGAAGAGGGAATAAAATGGAACGAAACAGCATTTAAGGAGTCGAAAAAAAGCGGAGCTTTTCAATGAGTACTAGAGCAATGCGTGCAAAAAGATGGGAAAAGAAACACAAACGAATAATGAATCGCTGGAACGAGGAAAAGTGAGAGAACGTATCACGCTCTCCCTCGCGACAACACTGCTTTTCCGAGCGGGAAACGGTGTAACGGACTTCTGATCTCGTCGCTCGGTTGGCGTACGATGCGGAAAATCACGCAAGAACAGCGCGGTGGTAACGTCGCGCCGCTATCTCTGCTGCTGCTCTCTGGTCGCCGTCGCTACCCCTCCGAGCCATGACTCGGCGCGCGCGCATTACCCCTTACTACGTCTACGATCAGTTCGTGATTTTGGTAGTACGTTATTTTGAGAGGTGAGGAAGGAGGTGAGTCATCTCTCTCTACCGCTCTTCTTACGGAGGGGCAGGGGCCAACGAAGGTGGAGCGCTCCATAGCGGCGGCGACCGCGACATCAGCTTCGTCGAAGCTCGTTGGGCTCGTCCTTGGCTCGGCCAGGTGGATCGCAGGGCTCGCTCCGCAGAGCATGGAGCTTTTGCGCGGGGTGGCAATGGGGCGAGGGAGTGGGGAGTACGTTGCCAGAAAGACGAGTAATAGTAGTAGTGATGGTGGTGTTGGCAGCGGTAGTGGATGCGAAGCGCGCAAGGGTAGATGGGGGATAAGGGATAAAAGCAGCGGAAGGTGGAGAAGGCACGGTGCCGTTCCCCGGAGGACGAGGTTAGGGAGTGGGGAGACGTGGTCTCGACCTTACGCCACGTTACGGGGGTGTAACGCAGCGCAAGTCCAGTATCATTGATTTAACATATATCTATATCTTACATAAAGACAGCGAGAGCTATGATGAGAATAGGGTAATGTCGCATTACATTTGTCCAAGCACAGGACGGCGTTATGCGCGCGAAGAAGAAATCTTTCTCCCCTTAAAGAGACTATAAAAAATTATTGATTATATAGAATTATTGAAGATTATATAATTATTGTGAAGATTGTTTAAGAGTTTGTGTGACGATTTCTAGAGAATATATATTAAAAATGATTTCTGCGAAAAAAATAAATTACAATTAGTATATATGGGACATTTTACGTCAACCGGATCACCTACGTCCTAAAAAAATCAGCGCAACGAAAATGAACATTCAAGATCTCAAATTATTCGTGTATGTACTTTCGAAAGAAACGTGACCTTTTGAAAAATCCAATATGGCGGATCCAATATGGTGCCGAGAAGCGATAAACATCATGGTGCAGTCACAAAGAAATAAGGAATAATGATTCCAACCTATCAGAAATCGTGTTTTCCGATGTATCCGATTTCTGATAGGTTGAAATTTTTATTCCTTATTCCTTCTATTGTGTAACTACACCTGATTCAACACTTTCTTGATTAAACCACTGTATTGATCTCAATTGGCTTAAAAACTATTAGAATTCTAGAATTGAAAAGAGATAATGAATAAGTTTAACCTCGGTTAAGAGTTAACCGTCAGTTGTGAAACTTAGCCCAAATGTCGAAATTAAACGCATTCTTTGGATTCGCACAGAATCTAGGGGAACTTTCCAGCAAGAGACACAAATTGACACAAGAGTCATTTAGTCTTTGTTCAATAATCAGTAAGAAACAAAGACGGAATGACTCTTGTGTCGAGTTATGCCTCTGGTGGAAAGCTCCCTAGAAAGTGTGACTAATGCCCATGTTCATAGTCAGACCTTGTACTTAAGGCTTCCTTAAATTTATCTTTAGATGCTCAGTAGCTAATGAAATAATTCGTAGAGCATTTGAAGTTAAGAAAGCATTAAATATAAAGTCTGACTATGAATACGAGCATAAAAGTCTCTTTCACCAACCTCGGTTAACCAACGGTTACATAGGGCTCATTTAGGCCTGATTGCACCAACGATACTTTGACTTTAACCAAGGCTTAAAATTCTCACTTTCTCTCTTTAAAGCCGAGAGAACGGAAGAGATAGAGAAAGTTTTAAGCTCCGCTTAAAATCAAAGTAACGTTGATGCAACCGGGCCTTAGGTCCAGTTCCACAATTGACGGTTAACTCATAACTGAAGTTCAACTTATTCGTTGTCTCTTTCCAATTTTAGAATTGAGAAAAGATGAGAAACAAGTTGAACTACGGTTAAAAGTTAACCATGAGTTGTGAAACTGGGCCTTAAGCCCGATGTCCACGATACTAGAAATCGGTCCGAGATCTCGGACAGGGAAAAAATTAACAAATTACATTTGAACAATTTGATTACATGACCATTGCGATTGGTCAATTCTTTCTTCATCCGAGGTCTCGGACAGATTTCTAGCATCGTGGACACAAGGCTTTGACACAATCTAGGGAGCTTTCCAGCAGAGGCACAAATCGACACAAGAGTTATCATCCCGTCTTTGTTTCTTACTGATTATTGAACAAGGAAAGAATGAACCTTGTGTTAATTAGATTCTGTGCGAATCCAAAGATGCATTTAACTTCGACACTTAGGTCCATTTTCACAACTTACGGTTAACACTTAACCGAGGTTCAACTTATTCATTACCTATAATATGAAATCTAGACTCTAGCGAATAAAATCATCACAAGTAATCATGCTAATTAGAGCCGACACATGCTGTTGGTGTGTATTTATTCAAGTATATATAAAAGATTAATTACGCAAACGTTTCGATCCTTTGTTTAGGATCATCTTCAATGCTATTCAAATTAACGCTTTCGTCGCGAATGTCAAGAATTAAGAATTAAAATTAGAGTTACAATTAAATCGCTTTTTCATATTACATAGTTCTTACAGATTATCAATGCGTCAAGCAGTAATAAAGGATAAACTATCTAAATGATCACATAGGAATGTAATGTATAAAATTGAATGTAAAGATTATGACACGTCATACGTGGACCAAATAAGTCGAATGTTAAAAACATGAATAAAAGAACATAAGAACCAGATAAATTGATAGTCAGGGAATGGAAAGTTACTTTTTAAAAGTAACAAGTTACAGTTACTCGTTACCGAGTAGGAAAAGTAACAAGTTACCGTTACTAGTTACCGA